ATTGAGGAGCATATTTACTAACCAAAGAAATTTAGTTGTCTAGAGCGGCCTTTCAACTTACTATTACACCAATAGTTATCAGTTAGTTTAGCTTAGCATCATATCTAATGCTCTTCGATCGTGAAACATTCTCTCGAAAGGGAGTGTTTCACATTTGTATGGGTTTTGTACTGAAATAGCCGTACTGGAGACCACTCAGTGCAGGTAGAAGTCCAGTCTTTAATATCTAGAACCCTCTTGTTTCTGAACTAAGCGTCTACTAAGATGCGCAGGCCACTTCGTGCAGACTATTTCACGGAAACCCAGGCATGCAGTGACGTTATACAAACGCCACTCAAAAGTTACCACCTCACTGACCATGCGGTGTTCAAGGCAAATAATTATATAATCGTCAATTCGCTCACGTTTGGGGTTCGTGAGCAAGGTTTCCAGCTACGGAAGTCTTCAATTGCCTCTCGATCAATGCATGAATGCAGTGTGATATACAAACACGAATGGTTGTCGAGTTATTTGGATTAGAGCCCTCCCGACCAGAAATGATCATTGCAGGTTATGGGATGAAAGCAAATGGATAACGGTGTGGCAGGACTACATTTGCCAGGGATGGGGTTGGGGGTGGGGGTGGGGGGGGGGGGTGGGGGGTGGGAGGTAAACGCCGAACTCCAGCCCGCGCAGGAACCCATCGGGGTGTGCGCTGGGCATCCGGTGGGGAGTCCCCCCCCCCCCCCAGAGGACCTCTCGGCCCACTCGTGACTGACGCATGCAGTCTGCCCCGGATAAGCGGGATGTCGTGAGGATTCAGGACAAAGCAAGAAAAGAAAACAAGAGGGTCGAAAACAACGAACGCAAGTCGCTTTTTATGCAACGTTATATAAGAAGTTAGGCATGGACACTAGATGTGACCAAAATTAGACTCAAAATCGAATAACTTGAGAATAGCGCTGTAAACGGGCATGCGATTGCATGTAAATACCTTAAAACCACGGACAAACATGCAGGAGCAACACGAGAAAGAGCCAAAACACGAGCACCTAGCATTTACTTCAGCAAACATAGGCAGCACCACCACTGCCATCTCTCGACAAGTTAAAATACTACAGGTATGTGCTAGGATGGCGATTTCGCACGGCCAGTCTGGCAACATTTCTAACATCATAAAAGCATTCCGTGTCGCAATCAAACAACGACGTATTGAGTAGCACATTTACTACACAAAGAAAACTGAAGAAATTTTGTCGTCTAGAAAAGCCTTTTTCGTTTAAAAAGTTGCAATCGTTGTAAAGAAGCTTATTTCATCGTACCTGGTGCTCGCTTCAATATCTTCCAATGTGAACCATTCCCTTCAGCGCATTCGGCCGGGGGGGGGGGGGGGGGGTCCGACTGCCCCCTATGGTTTTTCGGGCACAGGTCAAAAACAAACACTCGCAGCAACACCAAATTTCCCGCGCCTGTTTTCTATCAGTTTGACATTCTTTCTGCAAATTTGAAGTTTTTCTCTACTAAGATCAATGACTACGGTGAGGTCAAATAACTCAACTTCTAAGAAATTGGACCGCGCACAACTTCTTATGGGTCATTTACCATTGTTTTAAATTCTTGAAGTTAAAAGATAACTTATAGCTCGCATATTTCATATCTTTCGGGAAATGCGAGGTCAGTGATCTAAATTCAGGTCAATTTAGAGACGTTTTTCGTAAATATTGCAAATGTTATGCATTCCATGCAGATTTGGTGTTTACATATGATGAAAAGAGTTCTAAGTTACCTCATACGACTACAAAGAACATGGCCTTCTTCCCGGTCATGTCGCATCTCTACGGCTACTTTCTGCAGTCATAGCAGGTAATTTCTGACGCAGAATTCGATTACTCCTATGAAAATATATTATGATACCATTCTAATGCATCATGCGATCGCAATAGGTCATGTGAGGACATGCAAAGACATATGAAGTTAACCAATCCCGATACTGACAGTTCAGGTCAATAACCGATATTGCCAGTAGCAGAGAGGATAGATGAACGAATGCAACGCGTGCAATCATCTCCGTATCGTGTTTGTGGAACTCATGACGTCTTATTTCATGTACTAATGTATCTGTTCTCGGTTTGTTGCCACTACATTGTCAAGCGCCAAAGGGACTTTCCACAATATAGACAGCAGCTACGCGACCTCGAATACCTGTAGATGTACAATACAATATTTCTGACCGCAAAACCGCAAAATGGGATTTTTGGTCTGGGATGCTTTTTCACCAACGCTGCACATAATAAAACGAACTTCTAAGTTTATTTTATCCCATTGTGCACATTGTGAAGAATAGTATCGCTGTTGTAGGCTTTTGGTAGACCAATCTTCAACGGTGTCCGGGATGTGACCTGATCCATGTGAAGAAAAAATGGTCGGAATGGACTTTTTATTTCCAATTCTTTAATTCGACCTGACATTCGGATGTACCAGTTGTTAACTGATAGCTAAGCTTTCGTTATGCCTCCTAGAGCATGCGTCATATTTCGCCATATCCGCATGTTTTCCGTCACTGTCTTGCATTGCTTTGAGAATGGGGGACGAATGTCCTTGAAACGGCAGCTAGCTGAAACTAATAAAAATGACCATACATAAAGTGATCTATGACTTACCGAAAACGACGAAGAATCTAATTCGAGCATCGACCAAGCTTGTAAGAGACGAAATGAATGTACATTTACCCCTGCATATAAAAACTAAGAGAGAGAGAGAGGGGGAGAGAGAGAGAGAGAGAGAGAAGAGAGAGAGAGATAGAGAGAGAGAGAGAGAGAGAGAGAGATAGAGAGAGAGAGGGGGAGGGAGGGAGGGAGGGAGGGAGGGAGGGAGGGAGGGAGGGAGGGAGGGAGGGAGGAGGGAGGGAGGGAGGGAGGGAGGGAGGGAGGGAGGGAGGGAGGGAGGGGAGGGAGGGAGGGAGGGGAGGGAGGGAGGGGGGAGGGGGGGGGAGGGAGGGGGGAGGGAGGGAGGCAGGGAGG